GACAGAAAGAAAAGCAAATCGAAGAAGAGGCTGTACTGAAGCAGTTAAAGAAGATACAAGCAGACATCTCCATCTGGGGACTGCTTATGGCCTCGAGAGTTCACAGACAGGCCATCCTTTCTGCCATGGATAGGGCCAAGCTTTCAATTGATACAACACCCGAGCAGTTGGTAGGGTGGTCGGGCGAGCGGGGGTGCTCACGAAGTGACCTTCCCCAATCGTACCCAAGTTCCCGAGCCGAGGCAACTTTGGTGATGACGGACACGTGGCCTTAGGCAACGAGTCAGGGTTTCCTAAATTTCCCCAAAATAAAATATTTAGGTGGCGACTCTGTATCTGGCAAAGCAGTCCATGTTTGGCACTTCTTTCAAAATCTGTTTTCTCAAAACGATTTGCCGGATTTGGACTCTTTGGTTCAGATTTAGAACCATGACAATTTGAGAGTCCAAACTGTAGTGAACCCCAAATGAACAGAACGGGACTCGTTCCTCCTGGGGCGTTCGGGGACGTCTACACCGCTAAAGTGGTTTTGTTTTCCCTCATTTTCCACTATGAAATAGTAAGGATACTGCTATAACCTGTCAAAGTTATGTTATGGTTCAGAGTAAGGTATTTGGTAGAAGCTGGTAATACTTCAGAGCAGTTTGCTTTTCTTTATTGAACTTGAAGGCTATCCAAATCAGAAGCAATTTGAATCTGCTTTGATACCTTTAATTAACATAGTTCATTTGGTCTATAAGCTTTAGTGGGAAGTTGAGGTCTAATCTTACCATACAATAAATTGGTTATCACAGACCACTTTGCAATCTTTGCGCTGGTAATAAAACATTTTAAGTTGATGGGCTCATATAGTGCTCCTTTGTATTACCTGTCCATGTTAGTGCATATACAGGCCGCAAGTACCTCAACGACAAACCATACTCGTAATCTAGGTGGAATGCCTGTGTTAATATGGTATAGTTAACAGAAATTTAATTGGAAGCATTTGGTTTCATGTACGCGTCAATCTGATTGGGGCAATTGGGCTGCCTCTGATTACTTTTTTTTCCTGAATGCTTTGTACCTAATTGAGATTTTTGAAAATGCATAGTGGACCTCAACTTTTTTTCTTCTTTACCATTGTGTCCTTTAGGAGCATGGTGCAGTATTAAAACTCGAATTTCTGAAGAACCATTTCCTCTTGGCTTCCATAAACAAATTTGGGCAGCTCCACTATCAAGATGTTACTATTGGTGAGATGGTAGGTAATTACCGGACTCGTCAGGCCGTTGTGATGTGATGCAGGTGAATCCCTTCAACAGTGTTGTTGCTTTGGGCCATTTGAATGGTACAGTAACCATGTGGAAGCCTACAAGTCCCACTCCCCTTGTCAAGATGCTGGCTAATCACGGGCCTGTTTCAGCTTTAGCCTTTCACTCTAACGGCCATCTCATGGCAACGACTGGTATGGATAGGAAAATAAAGCTTTGGGATTTGAGGAAGTTTGAGGTTCTTCAAACTTTACCTGGCCATGTGTCACAGGCCGACTCCTTTAGAGGCGCAGCGAATCAATTTTTGCCTGTGTGGCGCTCAAACTCCACCAAGTTTAAGCCCGCCATTGCTCGTTGACAAATCGAGTGTTGATGATCTCACCCGTACAGATTTTGGGAGATTTCTCTGGATCTCAAAATTATAGCCGTTATATGGGTCATTCCATGGCAAAAGGTTACCAAGTAAATAAAGTGTTGTTCAGACCATACGAAGATGTTTTGGGCATAGGGCACTCTATGGGTTGGCCATCGATTCTTATTCCTGGATCTGGAGAGCCCAACTTCGATTCTTGGGTGGCGAATCCGTTTGAAACATCTAAACAGCGGAGAGAGAAAGAAGTGCGCTCTCTTCTTGACAAGCTCCCGGCAGAGACAATTTTGCTAGACCCCACAAAGATTGGTACAGTGAAACCAACAAGGAAGAGAGAGAAACCAAGCAAGTAGGAGAGAGAAGCAGAGATGGAAGCGGCCATTGAAGCTGCCAAGAGCGTTACCCAGAAGAATAAAACCAAAGGCAGGAACAAACCGAGTAAGAAAGCAAAGAAGAGGCAGGAAGGAATCAAGAGAGCCAAGAAGCCTTTCTTGGAACAACAAATGGAGGAAGAAGAATCATCTAAAAAGAAAAAGCAGAAGATCGGTGAGGAAAATGAACTACCAAAATCTTTGCAGCGGTTTGCTCGCAAGAAAGCTACTTCATGATTGTGTTAGATCATGGAACAGAAGTCTTGGAGAGGAGACTTATCTAACTTAGTCTGAGATGCTTCAATCCGTTGAAGGATTTTTTTAACTGCCTTTTTCTTCTTTGCTAGTCCTCCCCCGCAACCCGTTGCACGTCACGGAGATCTGAAGAAAAACAAAGAAAAGAAAACAAAGCAAAGATGGCGGCCATTGCGAAAGGGTGTTGTCAATTTTGTTTTTTCACTTTCTTTTAACAACATTTTTTTTTTTTCTTTTCCGGTTTAAGTACGGTTAAGAACTTCATACAAGAAATTTTTTAACAGCTATAGGCAGGGAAAGTTCATCTCCTTGCCCTCAAAATGAACCTCTAAAAGGAGTAGGAATTATTATATAGTCTTGTGACCTATAGATCAGGCTGTCATTTGGACTGGATTTATTATCCTTTTTCTTTTTTTTTTTGAGAACATGATTTATTAAAAAATTATGTATGTTTTTCCTTTTTGGGAAACTAAACTTCTTAGTTGTTGCCTGATCGATCGGGTTGGGCTTGACATTTATTTTTTGCATTTATTTTTTTTTTTTCTTTTTAAAAATAATATTATAAAAAATGGTATAGATCTCAAATATTTTACCAAATAAATGATCAAATGTGTCTCAAATGAGATGTGAGGTTTACAAAATTGCAGATCTCACACCCATGACATTTTGGTCATTTTACCCTAATATTATTGCTAAAAAAATTTTTAGTAAGCTAAGAAATTGTCCAAAAAATCTACCAAATGTGTACTAGGCATTTATTAGTGGTTTTTGAAAACAGGCATTTATTAGCGGTTGTGACAAAACATGAATAGAGGTATTTAGTTGTAACGGATTCAGTTGCAAAAATTAAAATTGCAAGATTTAATTTATTAAAGAGTTTAATCAAATCCTGAGATTTTTTCTGGTGATTTTTCTTTCGTATTATTTGGGAATCAAAAGAAAGAAGAAAAAACCAGCAACGGCGTATGAGCTTTGAGAAAGTGCCCTCCAACAAACATAATCACACATATAAATAAGCCATTCAACTCTGAAAATAGGTGAGCTTTGTAACCCAGTTTTCTTTTTCAATAATGCCCATCAAATAACTGCTAAACCGTCATAGTAAATGCTAAATAGTTTTCAGATTTAACCCATCTTCCTCTTTTCAAATTGTCCAAATGTAAAATTACAAATGCTTAACATTTCCACCCTCCACTGGTTTGTATTACGTAGTGCATCATCCATGTCGACAAAGAAAAAATTAAGTCAACAATAACATCGTACATTTTCTGATGTTGGCTGTAATTGGGACATGCTTTTGTATCAAAATGTTATGACAAATAAATAGACACATCTAAATCCAAGTGAACAAATAGAAACGTAAAATTTACACCAAACTAACATCTTCATGCTGTAACTCCATTGTTAGACTTGTGTTCTTGAGGGGCTGTTAGGAAATCCCAAGGTACGCCTCAGAATAGATCCCACCAGATTTTATGATCTGGATCTCACAAAAACCAACGTAGCTGGACGACGGAGAAAAGGAGACTTGGAATTAACCTGATTCTGTTAAGGGCAAAATTCAGAAACAAGTAGATATACCGAACACAAGCATGAAACCAGTTAGTTTTGTCCGCAACTAACCTGATTCTTGAATTTCCCGAGCAGCCTCTATTACTGTACAGAATATAGAGGATGGATCAAAAGGGAGTAGATTTCTCATGGAAGGGAAGAAGGAAAAAAAAAATCAAGAAAATATTGCTAATAAACAAATGTCTAAGAATACCGGAGAGAGCATAGTTTAACTTGTTCAAATTGTTAAAAACAACATCCAAATAGTACACATTAATGTGTTTGGGAGAGGAAAGATTGAGTACACACCTAACCTTTGGCATAGTGCACAAAGTGATTGTCCCGAGACTCGAACCCCCATAACCTCAAGATTATTATGCCAAGATTTTACCATTGAACCAATGGTCACCCCTAACTTGTTCAGCTTGTTATTGAATAGTAATTTATCGAATATAGCATCTAGAATAGAATCAATTGGATTTTTTTTTTCACAGGAGAGGTAGGTGGCCCTAAGGAAGAAAACGTTGCAACCCAGCACACAGCTCAAATGAGACTAAGCAAATGTCCGAAATGAATTCATCCTCTGAAGCAAATGCTAGTGAAGATATATATAGCAAGATTTTGTGAATTCAAGGCACAGTTCTAATTCATGGAAACTATGATATATTTTGACAAATTTTACAATAAAGTTTAATGTACATCCAGCAGTGCAAGAAAATTACACGGTTCATGCAAGGACAGAAAAAAAACAAGAAGCACAATATAGAAGTTTGTAGTGTGTTCCAAGACTCCACTAGAGCAAGAAAATTTTATGTCACTTGGATTACTAAGGAGAATGGGGAAAAGGAAAATTAGAACAACCACATAATATCATACAACAAACTTGTTTTTACCATAACTAAGATATTTCAATAGGGCGGTTGAAGAATCATGGAACACCAAAGTTTGATCATGTCTAAGCAATCTGACCTGTATTTGTGAAGTTGGCGTTTTATACACTTTTTGAAAGAGCCCCAGCAGCAAAGAGAAGATTCCTTCGAGAAAACTATTGCCAGAACAAGGATTGAACATTTAACCATCTGGAAAACATTTTAGTATATAATGCAAATTACTGAGAATTCAGCATTCCAGTGATTACCTGCAATGTGTAAACTGGAGTGGACTTGGTAGGTAGAGTCTTCAATGATCTGAGTCTGTTTGTACTTCCAGTTTTGCTAATCAAGAAAAATACACAGTAAAATCTTTATATACTCATAAAAAAGAGTGCAGCAAATTGAGCCAATTTACGTTTTCAGCAAAACTTACTTTTCTTCTGTTTTTAGCACCTTCGTGCTTGCTGTAACGTCCCATAACTTTACAGTGCAATCAGCAGACCCAGATGCAAGAAGTGAGCCTTCACAACTGATGTGACAAACCAGATGATTAACAAAACAAATTTACCGGTTTTCCCAGTCTGATAACTTCGGCGGATTAAATAATTTTGGATAAATTACACTTTTAAGCCCTCTAGTTTGACCCAAATTTCACTTCGGTCCCTATTGAGCAAAATGAAACTAGACTTAAAGTGCAGGCACCAAATTGTTCAATAGGGACTGAAGTGAAATTTGGGTCAAACTACAGGGATGAAAAGTGTAATTTATCCAATAGTTTTTTATGGGTCTCATCTAGAGAAAAAGGATTTTCACCTGAAAGCAAGAGTCCAGACACAGGAGGTGTGACCCACCAAAGGCGTGACACAACGACCACTTGAGAGATCCCACATCATAATTGTGCCATCTTCATCACCAGACGCCATGTACCGGCCATCAGGTGACATAGCCAAAGATAAAACCATACTCCTGTGACCAATGAAAATTCTAACACACTCCCCACTCTGTACATCCCATAATCGAACTGTTTTGTCACTAGATCCTGTAGCAATGTAATTGCAGTTTGAATGCCACCTTACACACTGAAAAATGAAGTGCAACGTTATAACTTATAAATCATTTCATTAGGATTAAATTTGTTTTCAATAAGATAAAAGCACTTTCTAGAAAGACGCCAAAGAGGATGTCACACCAGGTACACTAAGAGGTATACACAGAGCAAAGAAACAACCAAAAAAAACTATAGCTCTTCACCACAACTGAGTTCACTGTTCACCCTAGAAAAAGAAAAGTTCCAAAACTTCTTTTTAGGGGGGTAATTCACCTGGTTAATAATTCATTAGACAAAAGCACAGATTTTCCAATTAATTTTACTTGGTTTTGATAATGTGGCACTCAGTAGACTACAACGATTCGTAGGCTATGCCGGAAGGCACTTAAATTGATTTCATTGAGTTTTTTTAACTGAGACCCACATCACTTTTGATGGAAAAATTATATAGATAATTGAGATTAGGATTGTGTGTGAGTGTGTGTGTGTGTGTGTGTGTGTGAGAGAGAGAGAGAGAGAGGCTGAGATAAACTACTCACATCCACGTCGGATAAGTGCCCCGCCATTATCCTTAAAGGCTGTATTCTGTCCACAGACCAAATCCTTGCCGTTCGATCATGTGAAGCACTAGCAAAATAATGTCCTAATGGACTAAACTGCATTAAGATAGTATTAGAAAAACGTAAGACATCAGCATATATCATAAGCATGTGCATATGTGCATGTACGCCGATAAGTGCCCCGCCATTATCCTTAAAGGCTGTATTCTGTCCACAGACCAAATCCTTGCCGTTCGATCATGTGAAGCACTAGCAAAATAATGTCCTAATGGACTAAACTGCATTAAGATAGTATTAGAAAAACATAAGCATGTGCATATGTGCATGTACGCCAACATGCATGCATCCACATATGTATTAATTAAAACATAAATATGACATAAATTAGTTGATAACAATAAAGTTAACAAAGAACTTATGGTGATTAACTATTGGCTATTGAGGGTGGCTACAAAAGATTTTTTATCCTATATGCACCATTATCTGTAAATTGGAAGATGTCTCAAAATTACTTGCAGTTCAATCAACAACAACAACAAAAAAAAATTGAAGAAGAAGAAGATAAACAAAGGAGATTAACATATCAATTAGCACACCACAAGTTCAACAGTTTCTACCTTGAAGGTGCATTTAGAGCTCTTTTATGCCTTAAATAAGAGGCATACATAATCTTCTAATACAAGTGATTTTTTTCATAATTCAAACAAACTTGTAAAGGCGTGTATAGCTATTCTCCAACAGACTATCATATTAAGCATTATAAAACCTCCAGGTCCATGAAAGTGAGACAAAATAAATATCTTAACTATGTAATCAGAGATATCAGATATGTTTATCTCCCTGGTGATTTAGAAAATCACTGACCTCTTCGGAGATTTGCTGAAATTATTATGTATGATGACCTTGCTCAATTAGCGAACATTCGATTTACGGGGACTACAATATATTAGAAGCGTGAAGGTTGGAGTCATTTTGTAAACATTGGGAAAGCTCAAAATCTGATTAGTTCATTACACCGAAGTCATATATATAGGCTAACTAAACTAATAAAATCCCATAAAGTAAACAAATCCTAAGAAATAAAATCCTGATTAAATTAAAAATAAAAATACAAAATCTTCAATTATATCTTTATCCAAATCCTTTGCATTCCCTATCTATCACATATATAACATAATCATGAAAAATTAGAGATCAAAGATTCTCCACCTGAACATCCCATACAGGATAATTATGACCCTTGTAGCAAACAAGATTTGCATTTAGTTTTGTGCTCCACAATCGAACTGCAATAGAGCAGAGTTATCTTTCAAGACAGTAGTTCCGCAACTACAACTCACTTAAGATGAAATTTGCAGAGAGAATGCTACAATGACCATCTTTATATATCACATTGGGTTTACCATCTCATTTGTCATAATTGTATTAGTTGAATAGGTCCCACAACTCATGTATGTTACCAATACAATGATGACACATCACAGAGTAAACCAAATATGGTATACAAACATGGTCATTGTAGCATTATTGATTAGCAAAAGAAACAATTTTTTGAAACAAATCTTTAGAGAAAGAAAGAAAAGAACAGAGATGAAAAGAGTGAAACGTGACGGGTAAGGGAAACATACTTGTTGAATCTGATGAAGAGGATAGAAGAAAATCCCCAAAAGGACTAAAACTAGCTGAGTAGACAGGCCCAGAGTGACCTCGGAATAAAGTGTAAGATCTTTTCCCGCCATCTGCCCCAAGTACATGCTCACTGGTAGCAAAATCATTCTCACCCTGCAAAATAGCTGATAGTAACATTGTTCAACAACAGATCCCTGCCCACATATGCAACAAACTTTTTTTCTTCTGTTATACTTAGATCAGACAACAAAGAAAGTTATGCATGAGCAAGTCAAATGTATTCACATATTTGTATCCAGAATAAACAAGCTTTGTTACTGTTGTAAACTGCATGTTAAACACATCTGGTGGTCTCATAAATCTGTTACTTATTTATGTTGTTAGCAAAATCTTATAGATATGATATTAACACTATTTTTGTCAGTCATAGCATTGGTGGATACCCTGCCAAAATGCAAATGAAAAGTTGCAGCAAGGCCAACAAAATCATTGGCCAAGGCCAATATTAAAATAATGGCTAAAATAATATCATTTCATCAGCAGATCAACACAGACACAATAACACCATTGAAGGATTCCAAATGAACATCAGAAATTCATGTTTCATTCCCATGGCTGATCTCAATATTGATAAACAAAGGCCAATCCATAAAACTTCAAATACTGAAGATTAATTTCCAAGGTCTTACAGCTATGAAATGTTGGAGCAACACTACTCATAAAGCAGATTGTGGGGAACACGACATGATTCTCTGAGGTTTTACAAGACTATAGATTAAATCATACAGCGCAAGTACAGCCATACCTTACCCATTAACATAGGAAGGGAAATTGCTTAGATTTTTAAAGCGATGAGTTGTACACTTATGTTCACAGAAACAGCTTCTCAATAACTATATATAGTTGTTCATTAAAACGATAGACATTTTATCACATTTATGATGTAAAGCAGGAACAGTATGTTTCATTGTTCCAAAAGATGTCACCAAACAATAAAGTACAACACCATAACATTGAATTACAAAAGTTAACATAAGCCACTTACAACTGCCAGTTTGTTGTCCAAACTTTGCCATATCCCAAACCTGTAGAAAACAGTTTGGAAATTAGCGAACAAGTGCTATTAACAAGTCAACTAAGCCGCTATCAGACTACGGGGAAAAGAAAAAAGCATTAAGGAAAGAAAAAAAAAAAAAAGCAATATATGACACACAATACGCAACCTTCAGTGATGAGTCTGAGAATCCACCAGCAACCAATGATCCATCATGGGATATTGATGAACAGTTTAGGCTAGAACATTTGACACAAAGATCAGCAATAAAGCCCAAAATAGCAGTGAAATACTAACTCATAGAAAAAATTTGAACAGGTGAAATACATACCCATTATGTGTGTTAATAAATGTATAGAAGCTGACTGAGGGCAAAGCAGAGCTGCTCAACTGTACCCGGTTTCGTAAGTCTTCAAGAATAGAATGTTCAACCTCTGTTGGCCTGAGATGATAAGAATAAAACACTACTGAGTAGCATGCAACAAAAAAATTGGCTAAACAAGCATATCACTGAGTTCTGATCCCTAGCCCCTTGTGAAACCAATGTGAAAAAATTCCCTCACTATAGATGGCAAAATAGCAACAAGAACACACACACACAAAAAAAAAAAAAACAAAGAGTTGTAAATTATGATGAAATTCTAGATTTTTTTATAACAAAAGTATTTACAACAGGGAATGTCCCTTCCATTAAATACAGCAGATTTCATTAGCCTATTACACACAAGAAATCTCCTAAAGCAGAATAGCTAGTGCTTACATGCAAAAGTATACACATGCACGACCAGGTTAATGTGTTGTGGGTACCAAACACAATAATAGGTGAATAGAGGTCCTCAAAATATGGATGCACCAACATCTTTTATCAATGGATACCAATATCCCAATGAAAAAACACAGAAAGTAATTAAAAATACATAAATAAAACAGGAAATCCAAACCAAGGATTCTGAACAATACATTACTGGCAAAGTGAGCTCAGATTTTACACGTGGTGCTGCAGGCACAGTATTGGTCTCAATACGAACAGCTTTCCCTGTTGCACCAACCACCTTGTCCTTTTTCAACTTTTTGAGAGAAGCACCTTGCTTCCCTCCCTCCACTGCTCTCTTCTGAGAATGGCAGCAAAAAAAATTATTTTAAAAAATAAACCGAAAGGCTAGTATCTAAACGCAAGTGAATTGGCCAGAATAGGTATGTGAATATATCAAAGTCAAGCCAAGAAAACAAAGAATTACAAAAATTGGTAAAATATCAGCAATCAAGGATTATGATATGCTGATGAAAATATTGGGTTTGTGGAGCCTCATTAATACTGTAGTGCTCCCTTGCCTGAAGGACAGGATTTGGGAGCTGTGCCCTCAAGGTGAATTGTACTAAGTGCATTAAGGTAATTTGATGATGTAAACCCTAGCATATATATTGTTGTTTACTTAGGTGCTTGTCTTGTTTGTGATTGAGTCTTCTTGCTATTGTGTGGGTGTGCATGATTTATTCCGCAACAAAAAAAAAAATTGATGACACACACATAGCATAGACCTCTAAGGCATATTTTCTACCTTACTCTCATCCAAGTCACCTTCCTTACTTTCTCCGTCTACCTTCTCCAAATCTGAAAGCAAACTTCCTGCCTTCTCCAACCTTTCTTCTAAAGAGTCTTCAAGTAACTGCTGAAAATTAAATGGTTAGACAAAACAAAAACAAAAACAAAAAAAGGGTTAAGGTTTAGTTTTTAAGCTATATCACAATACAAAACAATAAGGACATCTTCATTACAAAGAGAAAATCTAGTACAAAGTCTACAACAAAAAGAAGTTTTAAATTATATAGATATTGGAGACAAAACAACCTAAAAGGTGAGAATCACAAATGAAAAAACTACCCAAAACAAACTTGGCAGAGTAATTTCTGAAACAGTAAACTACTCGACATAGGAACCTTGCATAAATTCCTTAAAATCCTTCAAAACAAACAGCAAAAGGATTGCAACACCAAATATTTATCAAACAATTTGAAAGATCTTATCTTTCTAAATAGGTGCCAACAACAAAAGTTACTAACTTCCATTCTATCCATTGCTTAATTCTAGATACACCAATGACCTTCAGTTTTTGAAATTAGTATCGACACAGCGAAACTCTTTGTTACAACTTTCCCCATCATTTTTTTCCCCCTTAATATTGGAGTCAAATTGCCTATACATCTCATTTCTATGCCTTTGTCATTTCTTCTACACACACACACATATATATAACAACAATTGTATACATCCAGAAAAACCACTGACCAGCAGCTACAACAATGTAGATTTGCTGGTTTAACATATTTTAAAAACAAAAGTCACATTTTTTGTTTTCAAAAGAAAGGGAAATACATCAAAAAAAAATGCTATCCAGCAGATGCCAGAATTAACACCTTTTGTATGCAGCTACGCAAATAATAAATAAACTATAATTCTTTTGAATCTTCAGTTAAGAAAAACTGCATAAATATGAGTAACTTACCCCCCAGTGTATTTCTTTCTGATTTATCAGATTAGCTGCATCCTGGCCACTCCCAACAAGTGTAACACCTTCATCATCAGAAATTGAGCTTGGTTGTCCAGGAGAAACTGCAAAGAGGTATTATTAGCTCAATGAAAAAGAAAAAAAATTAACTAAAACACCAAGATACAGTAGAAAAAAATATTATCAGGATGAAAAACATGCAATTAACAAGCAGGGAGCTGTACCTTGAAAGTTAATATGCTCATTAATAACCCCAAGCATTGTAATGGATTGTGTCTTGTGTAAATATTGCAGCAGAAGCTCGTAAGAATACTGGAGAGAAAAGTGGGAGAAAAATGACATTTAGGTTTCAGATAATCCCTTATTTTAAAATGATTTGCTTTTCCCTTGTATAGCCCCATCTTAATCTACTAATAAATAAATAAATAAAAATTAAAAGAAGGTGCCCATCTGAATCAATAACTGGGCTCTAGCCAATAAAATTCTAAGCTTACATATATGAAGAAAGCAAGCAATGGCAAGCAAATCAGGTGAGTGTTTAGGAAGTCCACCACAATGTTAGTTCATATATTAAACAAAGAACTGACTCTCCTAGCTGTAATCAGAAGAACTAAGTTGAACAAGGACAGAAGTCGTCTACTATAGTACACAGACAAGAACATCAGAGCATCAACCTTTGAAAAACCAAAACTCAATCTTCCTTCCATTGGCTCCAATCCAACTATTTAGTCTTAAGCTAAAGTCGATCCAAGTGGCTTAATTGCTAACTGAATGTGAATCAAGAAATTACCTGGCATATCTTAAGGTTCACTTTGCTCTGCCTCAAAGAATGAGCAAACTCCATTTCCTGCAAGGTGCAAACAAAGTTTATCAAGAAGCAGTTAGATTCATAAGTGCAAAATGTAACATGAAGACTAGTATAGTAATTAACCTCCAGATGACACGGAGAAAGAACTCCTTCCAATTTCTGAAGGTCCCGTAAGTGCATCATCTCATGGTCTTCACGAAAGCTATTGAAAAAATTTCGAGCTGAAGATTCAGACATAGCTATCAATAGTAAGTTCAACGTACTTGCCGCATAAATGGGCTGATTTGGTCAGCATACAGCCTAAGGCACAGAATAGTTTGAAACACAGCAACTCTGAATCATACCTTCTTGAATATGACCTTTTGCCACAAGATCCATGAAACAATGGACAAATACTGGATAGAGGACACGGATTAACTCATGCTGCATTGTTACAATACAATGCCAAGTGAATATAAGTTAGGCATACTAGAAAAAGAACTTCATAAAGTGATAAAAATAACTTAGCTTGATTGGATTCAGAAGGTCACAACATTAAGTTCTGATCAAATCAATAGACGACACTTAGTCGGATTATTTAACTAAATAAAACAAAATCGATGAACAATCTATATCTGCAAGGGTAAACTATGCCATATTCAGGTGAAATGAAATTGTACATCTGTTGCAATATTAGGAATTTAGGAAACAATTTCTGAGTTGGTTAAATAAAAGTCCAAAAAGTTACTGTGAAATAAAAGCTCAATAGATTTAACCTTTGTTACATAGACTCTTCTATTCTAAATGTGTGAAGTACTAGGATTGCGATATGTCTAGTTGATCATGCACCCAGTGAACAAATCTAGTGATTGAGAAATTGAGATTAACTTTATGATAATGCATGAAACTTATATTATTAGGGTGTTGAAGGGTTTGAGGAGAGGTTGTGTAGCTGAAGTGGGGGAATCCTCTCGTAAAGAAGTTTGATCTCATGTTTACAGAGTTGCATAGTGAGCCACTTTGGCAGATGGGTTTGCTGCTGGCAAAGAAGAAGGTTGTTCAAGCATATGTGGATAAGCAGTGGATGGTACCAACATGAGTTTTCATAATGGAGCTGAATGAGGCATTCTTCCTTTTTGAGTTAATATCACCGGAAGAAACTTGGAGAATTACAAAAGCAAGAAATTGGTGAATGGGAAATAGGCAGGTGTTCTGGGACAGGGGGGCAGAATGGAGGTGTTATTACAAGGCAATGGCATGTCCAACGGTGGTTTGAATGGGAAATGCACCTCAAACAATGCCCCAGGCACCAAATTTGTACTACAATAACAAGTCCAAAAAGTGACAATGCAAACAAACCATCTGAGTCAAAGTGTCTGTTACATAGAATTTTAGCTATGGTCGTGTAAACTTTCCATATTTCATTTGAGTGATGATGACAATACAACCAAGAAAACATGAAACCTACGCCACCCTACTGGAAAATGGTTTGGGGATCACTCAAACAAGCGAGGTACAGGAACACTACCTGCATTTTGACCCAACGGGACAAGGGACAGGCCCAATCCATCCTCTCTCGTGTAGGTGCAAGTGTTACACTTTCCACAAGATAGGTAAGGGGTAGAGGTTCCCCATCCCCATATATATGATAAATGCTACCAGACCAATTGAAAAGTGACTACTAAAATTTCAGAAGAAACGCAAAAGCCACAAAATTAATACATGATGTTAAAACCTATCACATCCATCCTCTCTCGTGTAGGTGCAAGTGTTACACTTTCCACAAGATAGGTAAGGGGTAGAGGTTCCCCATCCCCATATATATGATAAATGCTACCAGACCAATTGAAAAGTGACTACTAAAATTTCAGAAGAAACGCAAAAGCCACAAAATTAATACATGAATTTAGAAGACATGCAACTCCATGAATAGTTACCTTGTACAAATCCAGTGAACTGTAAGTCCATGACCTAAGCTTGCTGTATCCATCATGGTACTGTGCTGGAACATTATCTGATCTGAAAAGCAAAAGCACTCTTTACACTCAAGCATTTACACTCCAAAAGAACAAGAAACCAGAAAGTAGCATATGACAATCTACGAAACAAGGAAATAGCCATTTAGCATTTTTCATCATGAGGAAAAGCAATATATGCATGTTAGAAATACTCAAGAGTCAAGACAATAATACCCACATAACCATGTCAGTGTTAGTCAAATACAAAGTCCACTCAGTAACACCGCATTTATTATGTTGTAGTTGGAAAACATAAAGATTTTCCTGATTCCAAATGCCAGCAAATGAAGAAAGAGGAAAAATCAAAAGTGTAATCCAAAACATATTTCAGTTTGCAAAAGGTAATAACAACATAAATACAGACCAAGATAAACAAACAAGCAGTAAAATACCAACTTGAACACAAAGTGAGAACAAGCAAAAGAAAACTAGAATCTTGTAAATGACATGCGCAAAATATAGATCAAATAAAAAGATTTAAAAGATGATAATAGACAAACAGTAATTGCAATAACAATATAAAACATTTATATATAATGCACTTTCAATGTACTTTGCTTGATTTATTAGGAGTTGTAATTTTTTAAGAATTAAGTGTTTCAGTTGCAGCAGCTTTCTGAGCTTTCATACAAATGCCCCCCTGTCTAAAAATAAATAAATAAAGAGTTTTTTTTTGGGTGGGCCAAAAAAAATAAAGAGTTGAGAATGTCACAACTGATAAAAATTCATCGAGTCCCCATTGCTAATAAACATAGGCAATCTTTCTAGATTTTTGTTTTACCCAAATGTACCATGTTAATTCTCTGACATTGAAAAATATTAGGCAAATTCATATGAATCTATATTATGTTCTCAAATTAGTATCACCCAATGCCACTAAGAACTATAAAACCAATTGAAAATAAATAATTTACCCATAAATGCATCAAAACATCAAATCCACAGTGTGAACCAAAGAAATACAAACCATCTTCACAATTATCTTACTGAATACCAAAAACCTAACAGTTTCAATTTTCTTTTTTTTCCCCCAAAAGGCCCAGAATTTGTAAAAACCATACATATTTAACCAGCAGACACCACAAAAGTAACAAAATTTAAAAGGCATATGCAGCAGATTACAGTACAGGAGTTGAAATTTCAAAAATTTTGAAGCTAAATCTTAAAAAAGTAGAGAGAAACGTACTCGGAGAAGGAGAGAAGGTGTTTGGCAATGTCGGGGTCGGTGGAGGAGTTGGAAGAGGAGTTTTTGGTGTGGTGTTGCTGCTCTTCTTGGAAAGCGAGCTCTGTCTGCTTGAAACCCTTCTTCTTCAGATACGCTATCACTGCTTTCTCTATCTCTTCTTCGTCCATCTCTCTCTCTCTCTCTCTCTCTCTGCTCGCTGTCGCAGACACTGGTCGTAACTAGGTTTTGAAAACGGGCTAGACGACTCAAGTTCGGGTACCCCGCACCCGAACTATAAATAAAAGCATCTAGTTAAAGAGTAAGGGTAGGGATCCGAAATGATTTATTAGGCCCGTTTGTTTTCATTGGTAGAATAGAGAGAATTGATAGTGAGAGGATTAAATAAAATTGTGTTTGTTTTGATAATAGTTGTTAATGTAAAGATTGTTAAATTATTTTATATAAAATAAATATAAAATAATAAAACAAATAAAAAAAATTTAAAAATATTAAACATTAATATTTTTAAAAAAAAATGTCCAACATGTAAAAAAAAATTAAAAAATAAAAATAAAATAAAATAAAATTCATAAAAAAATAAAAATAAATAAAATAATGATTTTTACTTAACAAAAATATAAAAAATTAAATATTAATGTTCAAAAAAAAATGTCCGACATGTAAAAAATAAAATAAAAAATAAATAAAATAAAAAATTTCTAGTCCGCCAAACTATTTTTCTAATACCAAGTCCTGGAGGCCCGTCCGAATCCCCTTGGGGAGGCATATCCTAATCCGAAGTTTACTATTAATCCCCTCCCCATCTCTCAAAACAAACACAATATTAGTGAATCTCACCGCACTACCAGTCTCAATCTCCCCTCTAACTCTCCAAATAAACAGGGCCTTAGTGCAGTTGACCTGAGATATAATATTTGATGTTTAGTATAAGACATTTAGAAACCCCTCAATTATTTGATGACCTGAGATACAATCTCCCCTCTGGTGTGAATCTTAGACTCATCTAAGACATTTAGTATAATATTTGATAAAACATTTGAATTCCTAAAATTTTTCATAATTAATTATATTGAAACCCCTCAATTATTAATAATATCATCTTGCCCCTCATCTATGTATAGGTCCATTTCAACCCCCTAAACTTGCATTGTTTGGTTATCTCTGTTTCTTTTTTTTTTTCTTTTTTTGAAAATTAAGTTTTTTTTATTTTTGTATTTTTTTATTATTTTGAGTGAATTTTTTCATTTTTAGATACACTAAAAAATATATTATTTGTGAAAAAAGTAATATATTTTTGTATTTTGTTGTATTTAAATAATTTTTTAAAGTTTTTTGTATAAATTTTATAATTTTTTAGTATATCAAGATTAAAGTGGACGTACAAGTAACAAAATTTATCACCATTCAATGTACTTTAGAAAAATAATTACACATTCATTGAAAAACATATAATTTTAATAATTAATATTGATAAAGTTTATCACTGATATGTAATTAATTTTGTAGAAATCCACTGGCGTGTAATTTTTCCAAACAAAATAAGAAAATAGTAAGTAGGACGAACTATAAAAGCTTGAAAGAATGAATAAATCAAAAATAAAAATGAAAGAAACATCAATTCGTTTGAAAATTTTAAATGAAATTCATTAACAAGAGACGTTCAATTATAAAATAATTGTTTTTTTTTTGGGGGGTGGTTTATATTTATTTTAGTTGGATAAGATTTTTTTTTGTCCCTCTCCAATTTTCTTTACACTTATTTTTACCATTATTTTGTGTATTTGTCATTATCAACTCTCATCATAATTTTGTCCATTGTTAATATGCGTTGACATTTTTCTCTTAATTTTGTCAACTCATTTTTCTTTTTATCTTTTCCAATTTTAAGAAAAGAAACAAAACAAACTAAGGCATAGTTTGGGAAGTTGGTTTTTGTGGGTTAGGGGTTAAAATAGCCACAAAAAATAAAATAGGCTATTTTAGTCACAAAAAATAAAATATCAAATTCAACCCATAATCATTACATTTCTCTCTCACAAAAAAAGTTAAAAAAATTAAAAAATAAACTTTTTAGTCCTAGATTAAAATAGTCAAAAAAATCAAAAAGTTAAAAAGTGAACTCACTCTTCCCAAACAGAGGGTAAAGACATCCTGAGAAATTTGCAGTATTTAATGACAACTCATACCAATTAATGTCAAGTCGAGCTTCAGAATCACTAAGATTCTTATAGCGGACTAGGATTTAATGGCAAGTTGTAGGGATGAGAATGGAATTAATGGAGTGGATATTAATTTTTCATCTCTATTCTTTAATAACTATTTTTTTTTATTCCTCATTCTCCATGGATACTATCTTCCTCATCTCTTAATGGGTCTGAATATTCTCCAACCCAACTTGATCCCTTGTCTTTTTTCTTTTTTTTCTTTTTTTTTTAAGATTCACAACCAAAACTAAATATACATTCAATCTTATTTTATTTTATTTGGCTTAACAACAAAATCAAATACACATTAATTAATTTGTCACATTATTCTTGTCAAATTTTATGTATATCTAGAATTTTTAAAATTTATTTCGAAAAATTCAATCTTAACCAAAGCTAAATATACATTCAAATTTTTATTTATTTATTTTTTTTTTAAGATTCACAACTAAAACTAAATATACATTCAACCTTATTTTATTTTATTTGAGTCAACAACAAAATCAAATACACATTAATTAACATTGTCACATTATTATTGTCAAATTTTATGTATATCTATAATTTTTTTAATTTATTTAAAAAAATTCTATTCCTACAAAAAAAAATTACATCTTCTTTTTTATTTTATTTTTTAAAATTTTATGTATCTTCTTCTCCTCTCTAATAATTGATCCTCGATAATCTGAAGGTGAGTTATTGCTCTCATTTCCATCTTCTTCTTTTTCTTTTTCTTTTTTAAATTTTTATCTGCATTTATAGAATGAATTTTCTTGTTTCAATATCTCCTGCAATTTTTTTATCGGATTTCTTTATGATGTGATGATAACCTTAGATTGAATTTTCTAATTTTCATCATAACTAGTGATCACCTTAATTGAAATTTTGTCTTAAATTTTCATGGTTTGGTTATGATTAATTGCACGTTTTTTATTGACAGTCACAATCTTGTCACCGCTAGATCGTCGTCGTCGCCAATCGTCGTTGTTGTAGTGAGAGGATGAGAGAGAATGAGAATTAGAACTCTAATTGTAAATAAAGTAAGGATGGCAATGGATAACCTACCATGTAGATATCCATGGAGACCCAACCCAAATACTTGGGTTTCCATTTTTTCTTGTTCATCAGGTGAGGTAAGTGATGTTCTTTAAATCTCAACTGGGGATGGGTACTGTACGGGGAGCAAATATTTCGGCAAGCCCGTATTCCTTTCTTCTAAGCTCCTGTCTGTCCGATCGATCTGCGAGCACAACAGCGGTAAGCTACCCGGCGGTGTGGCCGGAAAACCCTCCGACGATCAAGTTAGCACACACCTTAAGATAGGGAGAGATGAGTGTTTGAGTGTAAGAATTTCCTTACAAAAAATGTTCATCCACAGCAAGGGGGGCGCAGACTCGCTTATATACCTTTTGCGCCCCAAATCCACTCTCATCCGTCTCTCGACACGTGGTGCTGATATCCCATCTGTCAGCACAAATCTTGCTGGGCACCACCTAACCCAACTGCCCTCCCATTCTCCTGGGAGCTCGGCAGCCGGTCAGTACCATCTCGCCCATCGTCTGCCATGCTGCGCTTCTTGCCCAAGTACTCCAACAGCTAAGCTCAGATGGGGACCGGACTCGGCGGCATCTCGGCAAAGCCGAGCTCGGGACAACTCACGCTTGTCTGCGGTCGACCTATCTGCCGAGCAGACAGGTACCCCGGCTTCATAACCACGGATCCTCGCAGCTTGTTCAATCCACGCGCTGCCTTAACCGAGCAGCTTCCTTCACGGCCGGGCCACACAACTTAGCGCAACGCTTGTCTGGCCCAAATCTATCCTGCACAACTCTGTCCGGCATAACTCTGTCCGGCACAACTCCATATCATTAATCTCCCTCTCAGGTACCCACTAATTTCCCCATATATATATATATATATTTTTTGGTACATCAAAAACAATTTCTTCATCTGTTTTCACTACTCTGTTGACAATTAGAGTTCTAATTCTCATTCTCTCTCATCCTCTCACTACAGCAATGATGATTTACAATGACGATAATCTAGCAGTGACAAGATTGTGACTATCGATCAAAAACGCGTAATTAATCATAACTAAAACATGAAAATTAAAGACAAAAATGTGTAAAATTTTAATTAAGGTAATCGTTAGTTAAGATGAAAATTGGAAAATTCAATCTAAAGCTACCATCAAATCAGAGAGAAATCCAATAAAACAATTGCAGCAGATATTAAAACAAGAAAATTCATTCTATAAATGCAAATAAAAATTTAAAAAAAAAGAAGAAGAAGAAGAAAAAGATGGAAACGAGAGCAATAACCCACCTTCAAATTATCGAAGATCAATTAATAGAGATGAGAAGGAGATACATAAAATTTAAAAAAAAATAAAAAAAAAGATGAAATTTTTTTGAAAGAATAGAATTTTTCTAAATAAATTTAAAAAATTATAAATATGCATAAAATTTGACAAGCATAATGTGACAATGTTAATTAATGTGTATTTGACTTTGTTGTTGAGCCAAATAAAATAAAATAAGATTGAATGTATATTTAGCTTTGGTTGTGAATCTTAAAAATTTAAAAAAAAAATGGTTGTGAACCTTAAAAAAGAAAAAGAAAAAGAAAAAAGATTGAATATATATTTAGATTTGGTTGTGAATCTTAAAAAAATATATATATATATTTGGTTGTGAACCTGAAATAAATAAATAAAAGAAAAAAGATTGAATGTATATTTAGTTTTGGTTGTGAATTTTAAAATATTAAAAAAAAAATTGTTGAGAACCTGAATAAATAAATAAATAAATAAAAGAAAAAAAATTGAATGTATATTTAGTTTTGATTGTGAATCTTTAAAAAAAAATAATAAATAAAAACAAAACAATATATGGGGAAATTAGTGGATACCCATCCCCGACTCATCCCCTATGGATATTTAAAGAATATCACTTACCCTACCCAATGAATAAGAAAAAAAGAGAAAAACCCATGTATTTGGGTTGGGTTTCCATGGATACCCACAGGATAGGTTATCCATTGTCATCCTTAGCAAGTTGGCAACAACTATTTTCTTTTTGAGAAATCTATAATCTTCAATTATGACTTATACAAAATTATTATAATGTCAAATTGAGTTCTTGATCCATCAAATTCTAATTCTCATATTTAAAGTTATTTATAGACAATTTTACATTTGCAAGTTTTTTTAAATCCTTAGTAACATAGTGATGTGAACATTCATATTGAATCAATTTTATATTTTTCACACTGTTAATGTGAACATTAATGCATATTTCACCCTATTATTATTAGATATATTTTTGTAACTATGTCACCCATAAAATTTATTTGAACATAAAAAAATAATTTAAACTTATGAATAAATACCTCAAAAGTAAGATATATAACATATATCTATATATGACAATTAATAGTGACTATTGGTTGTTTTCAAAAAAAAATTACAAAAAATGTTATACAAATATATATTTTTTAAAATTTATTTATTTTGTAGATCACTATAACTATTATCACTCTACTATTTATGATCATAGTGTTACCGTTATCCATTCATCGCGGCCGCCACCACCACTACCACTATATCAACCACCATATCTACCTTCACCATCATTGTTGTTACAATATACCACTTTCATCACATAACCCCAATACTACCATCCTTACCATTAAAACCAGCCCGTACCATCACCACTTCCATTGTTATCAAGGTTACACAACCACTACTGCTACAACCACCACCATATCAATGTCACAAACTACCATTACATGTGCTACATCGATCCAATTATCGCCATTTTATTATTACCGGCACTACTATCAATACATTGTTATTGTCACCATTACTCCAACATTATCACCATCACTGTTACGCAAATACCATCGCTAGTACCAGCTGCCACCACCAAAATTATCACAACACAACAATGTCACCGTTCTATTACTACCATTGTCACCATTACCACCACTATCTCCACATCATCACTACAGTCACCGCAACCATCATTCCACTATACCACTATCATCTCGCTACCATTATCGACACTCTGCCGTTTCAAACTACTATCACTGCCATGTTGCTATCAACCTAATACTACAATGAAAAAATATGGGAAAAAAATAATAATAAGTGAATATTATAAAGAAAAAATAGTATGAACCCCAAATATTTTACCAACATTTCTATCAAATATCTCACATGACATTTGATAAAAATGTTAATAAAACATTTGGAATTCCTAACATTATTCTATTATAAAGTTCAAACGTCATACTTTGGTACATACCTAATAGTTTGCTTAAATTTAAAACTTTGGACATACTAAACAACTTTCCAAATAAAAAAATCTAATATTTAATTCTTAAATTTCAGCTTCTAATTTCAATTTTTATCAAACAAAACTATAGTTGCTGTTAAATTTTGGGAAAAAATACATAACCAAAGCCTTGACTAAATTTAGAGCTTACAATTTTTTACATAATAAACAACTTTCCAAATTAAAAAATGAATAAGTAAAAAATCAAGTTTAAACATTAAATTTTGAATTTCAGATTTTAATCTTCAATTTTATAAAAGACAACTATAATTTAAATTTGAGGAAGAATCACCAAAACTTTGCAATTTTTATTAAGTTTTCTTCAACTTAATCACACATCTTTTACAAACTAAGCACCTAACTTTGCAAATATTCTACACAAACCCAAAATCAAACCCAAAACTTATAGAAAATATAAATCTTTCCCCCCCAAAAACAAGTCACAAGTGAGTAACCCCTAACTAGGGTTAGGAGGGTTCATTTGATTGTTGCTCTTTTCACATCATCCACTGCCGCCAACTATACCGTTACCACCGTTACAAATATTATCACCTTGCCAAGTCCAAACAATGTCTTTCAAGGCAGGTCTAACGTCCTCTTCACAGAACTTAGCATATTCAAGTGTATCTCCGGCGGACTTTGAGAATTTCACCACCGCCACCTCCGGCGCCACCTCAAACACCTCCGCCGTCACCGCCAGCCTTCCTTTTCTCCCCTCCGTGGCCCCCTGCATCCTCAGCTTGAAATCCTTCACCTGCGCCACCTTATAGCTTAGCCCTTTCCCCGCCGCCTCTATCTTCTCCATGATCGCCGAAGCAGAGCACCTCGACGTGAACATCGACCCAACTCTCCTCTTGTTCTCGAACAAGCTCGATAGATCAAACCCAGATGACATCGATGAAATGAACTCGAAGGCGTTGAAAAAAGCAGGGGACGAGGCCGATTTCTTCATCTGGGTCAATTCTTGTTCATCAAATTCTTCTGATTTTTCAATCAAATCTTGTCGAATTGAAAACGAATGTGCTCTTGTGAATCCTTTGTTGAACCAAGGAACTCGCATTATACCTGGGATTGTGATTCGGCGATCTGGGTCGGCCATTAGGAGCTTCGAAATTAACCTCCGAGCTTCAGAGGAAATCCATGGCGGAAATTCAAACTCTGCTTTGAAAACCTTTCTATACATGTTCATGAGGTTCTCATCTTGAAATGGCAAAAAACCAGAAAGAAGAACATATAGAATCACACCACAAGACCATAGATCAGCTTTAGCACCATCGTAACCCTTCTTCCTCAGCACCTCCGGAGCGACATACGCCGGAGTTCCACACTGGGTATGAAGAAGGCCATCGTTTCGAAGCTGTTCCGGCAAAGCAGAGAGCCCAAAATCGGAGACTTTGAGACCACCATTTTCATCAAGAAGGAGGTTTTCAGGCTTGAGATCGCGGTGGTAGACACCGCGGCTATGGCAGAAATCGACTGCGGAGATCAGCTGCTGGAAGTACGTTCTGGCGAGGTCTTCCCGGAGCTTTCCTCGGGCTACCTTGGCGAAGAGTTCGCCGCCTTTGACATATTCCATGACACAGAAAATCTTGGTTTTAGTTGCCATAACCTCTTTCAGTTCGACAATATTCGGGTGTCGCACCAGTCTCATCACCGCGATTTCTCTCTGGATCTGCTCCATCATTCCTTCTTTCTTCACCTGATCTTTGTTTATCACTTTGATCGCCACGCTCTCTCCGGACTCCAATTGTTTTCCGTAGTAAACCTTCGCAAACGTGCCTTTTCCCAGTAATCTCCCCATTTCGTACTTCCCAAACAGAGTATGCGTATGCCTCTCTTCCATGGTTGATTTTGATTTCTCAAGGTATTTAATCGATTGATGTTTTTTTGAAAGATGGGTAACTAAAAACAGATGTTTTGGTGACTACCCATTTCGAATCTATGCATAGAAGTGACTATTTCAGTAAGAATTTTGATGGGCTCTATTTTTGGGGGATGAACAGGGTAAGGGAATCCACGAGAGTATTGAGGATATACTGATTTTTAATTGTGAACCCATGGGCAAGTGGGGGCTTTGCTGTGGGTTGGATTGGAATTCGGATGAATCTGGGAGCGGCTAAAAGGGATAGTGGAGGAGAGAGAAATAAAGAATGAAAGGAGGGTGTGGTGTAGCCATTGGAGCACCTGGTTTTCTTTTCCCGGAATTGTGGGAGGATGGTACCTTGAAGAGAGAGGCAAGAGAGCACATAGAATCAATTAAATATATTCACAATAGGATGTGTCAAGGAAATAGCCCCCAGTGTGTAACAAATACACACCTATCTTCCTGAATAGAATAGAATAGAATAGAATAAAATAAAATAAAAAATAAAAAAAAGTTATAAATCTCAAACATTTTTCTTTACCTTAAATAATTTGTCAAAAAAATAAGAGAGATTACAAATCAAGACAACACACGTTGTTGTAATCCTATGAATAGAACATGGGTGGTTATTGGATAGCAACATTCTTACATGGCTGGATTTTCAATCTCTTTTGCATCTCTCGCACGGTATTTTGATTGATTTTGACTTACAACTGAATTTTATTAGGGTTTGTTTGGAAAGTGGTTGGTTTTTTAATTTTTTGACTATTTTAGTTTTGATTAAAAAGTCTTGTTTTGGAAGGATTTTTTAGTTTTTTTGACTTTTTATGAGAGAAAGAATGTAATGATTGTAGATTAGATGTAATGTTTTGTCTTATCGAATTAAAAAGTCTATTTTATTTTTTTGTAACTATCTTAGCCAAAAAATCCCAAACCTCAACTTTCCAAATGAGCTCTTAGTATCTTGATGGTAGATTTCTTCCTATGTGTTAGATTAAATTTAACTGACAACCAGCTATTCCGAAATTAGAACCCACAGATGCAATGACGACACTACAAAACGTCTTTTTCTAATTAAAAAAAAAAAAGAATTTTCTTCACATGGTGCAGTAAAAATTAAAAAAAATAAAAAGTGTAATTGCACTCTAGTTTAAAGAAAAAAAATTATATATTTATGAAGAAGTTTATAATATTAATTATTAATTAATTTTTTTTTGGCAGTTTGATATATATATATATATATATATGTGTGTGTGTGTGGGTGTGTGTGTGTAATATTATAGACCCACATTTAAGATTCCTAAATACACTCATAATGATGTGACAAGAAAATAAAACCTTACATAATTGAATATCTAATAAATCAAAAATTAATATTTATCATTTCACATCATTATGGATGAAATTATAGGTTTTATTAGTGGTCTCAAACATTTTCTTATGTGAATTATCTCATTTTTATTTGAAAATAATTACATAGTTCCCTTGTGACTTGTAGATTAAAATATACTGTTAAAGCCATTAACAAGAAATACTATTGTATATAAGTAACATAAATGTGTGAATTATAGATATTTTCATTATTTGTTTGGGAGGTAAAATACATTTTAATCCCTATGTTTTATTCTATTTACAATTTATCCCTTTAAAATTTGAAAATAAATATATAATCTCTTCTATCTGGCACGTACTTCACACTTACGATTATATTGAACAAAATATTTAACGATTCACTTCAATTCTTAAACCACAAAATGATTATATAATTTCCAAATGAAATAGTGATAATCTACGCATAAATAAAAGTACAAGGTGAAGTGAATTTTGTCCGAAAAGTTGTTTTCTAACAAATGAGAAAGAAGACCTAACTACATAGAGAAGGGCCATGTGAAACTATTCTATGGAGCCAACGTCCTAAACATCACCCTAATAATAGTGAGGTCACGTAAACATCACCTTAATAATAGGAACATCACGTTTGTTTGGTAGATTAAGGTAGGAGAGATAATTAGTGAGAAGATTATTAATATAAAGATTATTAGTAAAAAAATTAAGTAAAATTATATTTATTTTGATGATAAATTTTAATGTGGAGATTGTTAAATTATTTTTATATAAAATAAAAAAATATTTTTATATAAACAAATCGAAAACAAATATTAAAAAAATTCAAAAATAACAAGTTAAAAAAACTTGTTGTTTATTTTACCATATTTTAATGAAATTAATATATGAAATTTTATAAATACCCTTATTATAATTTTGTGTAATTTTATATATTCTTATGTATTTTAAGTGTTTGTATAAAAATTATTACAAATAATAATATTATAATTTAATTTTATAATATAATATATAATACTATTATAATAAGCGAAACATTCAGTGAATGGTACACGCCATGGGTTGTTTTGGGAAGTTGGTAAAAAGCTGGCTTTTTGCTTTTTAGTTTAATATTTATTTATGGTGTCAAATCAAACTAAAATGACCAAAATACCCTTACCTAACATAAGAGAGTTATTTTTTTATTTATTTTTCATATGCCCTAATTTGTAATTTTAGGGCTGCGTTTTTAGCACTTGCCAAATGGCTTTTTTGGCTTTTTTGGCAGCCACGTTTTTGGACATTTTGTCCAAAAACGTGGCTTTTTACCATGTTCCCAAAATGGCACCATATATATATATACTAGTGTATGCCCGTGCCTAAGGGCACGGTGTAAATAATATTTTGTTTGAATAATTTTCATTTATCATTCTCTCTTAAGCTAGGAACATTGAGAATCAAGTATACCTCAAATTTTGTTTTCCTATGACATACAAAAAATGAATAGATAACATACATTTTAGCAAGAGGATCCCCTTTATTATAAACACAATTTCAAAATAAGAAAAACAACAAAATGGTGTTCTCCCTTTGGAGCACACCATGCTAATACAAAAATGGTATTCTTGATCAAAATCTAAATAACAAACACCTCCAAATGTCTACATCTCAAACCGAACCAAATCGATATAAGTTTACACAACATCAACCTGTCTTTAAATAATCTTTAACTTTATACAACGTCAATCATTTTCAAAGTTTGTCAACGATGAAACCAAAAATAGTGTAAATTCTGCCATCGAGATTGCCACTCTTTCAACACTCATCAATCAAAGAAGTGCACGTTTAGTTTACACAACAATAAATACAAAATCATGAAAGGGATAAGAAAAACTTAAGCTTAAAAAAATGTAGACCTGTAAAAAGAGAATCAATATTGCCATTCGCTTCTAGTCTTCATCCACCTGTAAAATACAGAAAAAGTCAATATAATAATTAAAAGAGACTACCCAATTCAAAATAAACACATGCATGGTCACACTAATGAAAGGTTTTTTTATAGACACCGAATTCAAACTAAACACAAACATTGTTGCAAAATAATAATTGGTTACCCAATAAAAACACTATGAACAAACACAACACATAAAAATTAATGACTGATAAAAACATTAATTTACACAAATCAATCAATATTTTCTTTGGGTTTTATTTTTTTTCAATTCTTTCTTTTTGGAACTTCCTTTAGTTGATCACATAAGTTCAGAGGGAAAATTTAAGAAAGAATTTAATAAAATAAAATTCAGAAAGCAAACTCTTCGCTGGGTAATTTAACAACAAACTCTAACTTAATTCCCCCATCATTTACAAATCAACACAGCCTAAAAAACCCCATTTATTTTGTCCAAAAGCCCAAAGTCATTTATTATATCAGTTTAGTCCCATCAGTTTTGTGTATGTAACCACCCTCCATCACCATCTTTAATCTTCACCTACACCCATTCAGATTTATTTTGCTTCCAACCTTAAATACATTTTGAATATTTGTTAAGCAATACATGACCATAAGTAAAACTCAAAACTCAAATAAAATAACTTCCCCCAGCCTTAATGCAAATTAAGAAACAAACATATAAGATTTATAATATTCACTAAAATGATCATTCTATTTAATTAAAAACAGAACCAGCCAAGTGATATTATATTTTGGTAACCACCATTAAGAAATCATTATACTATTTACCTCAATCTATCAAACATCTAGATTATCATAACAGAAAAAGGCATAAACAAACAACCATTGTCTATTTAATAAAAAACAGAACCGGCCAAGTGATATTATACTTTGGTAACCACCATTAAGAAATCATTATGTGCCTTTAATAAAAAAAAATGTAACTAAAAAAAAAATTACAACAGGAACCATTGCCATACTGTAAAATGATCATTCTATTTAATCAAAAATAAAACCAGCCAAGTGATGTTATATTTGGGTAACCACCATTAAGAAATCATTATACTATTTATCCCAATCTATCAATCATCTAGATTATCATACCAGAAAATGGCATAAGCAAACAACCATTGTCTATTTAATCAAAATGGAACTAGCCAAATGATATTCTATCTAAGTCATTTTTTGTCTAAAATAACCTGTTTGAATATCAAGCCAACAATTCTGAAGGGGAGAGGCAGAAATCAACACAACAATTCTGAATCGGGAAAAAGACAGAAACAATTAGCAATCTTATCAGAACAGAAAATGGCATAGGCAAACAACCATTGTCTATTTAATCAAAAACAGAATCAGCCAAGTGATATTTTATTTTGGTAACCACCACTAAGAAATCATTAGTAAGAAATACAAAACCTAACTTAGAAAGCAGATCATTAGATTCATCCTTACCCTATACAATTCACGATCAAAATCGAAATTCAAGTGAAGACCTCTATTTGAGAACATATTCAAAGCATGAGAACTGTGAAAATCGAATTGAAAAATACGTGAAGATGCAAATCCAACCTATCAAACATCTAGATTACCTGAAAAGCACTTGCTTTATTAATCACTTCAATAATTAATTAGTAGTATTGATATGAAACATTAATAAGTCACTATATCAAGATACAAAGTAACAACAAATTGTACTTGAAAAATCAAATGAAACCAAATGACACTAACTAATGTACTTGAAAAAACCAAATGACACTAACTAATGTACTTGAAAAAAGCAAATGACACTAACTAATGTACTTGAAAAAAAAAAAAGAAAAAAAGTGAACCAACTAATTTTTTTTTAGGGGGGGAATATAAAAATCAACAACTAATTTTTTTTTAGGGAGGGGGGGGGGAATATAAAAATCAACAACTAACATAAACAATCTATTTCGGTGGCACCCAAATATTGTTCATTTCATGGGTGATATTACTCAGCCCCCAAACTTGTCCATAATAACAGAATATCTATCTACTATTTTATATTGTTTCTTTTAATTCCCTTAGCATCAATATGGGAATTAGATATTATTGCAAAGTCTGTTTATATAGGCTTTTTGCATAAAGCTGGTGCAAGAGAAGTATTGGATGAGAGGCTTGTATTATTTCTTTTAATTCCC